TTACATAAAAATGAGAAATTTTAAATAGTTGATTTGATATTAGCATTGATATATATATATATATATATATATATTTCAAATTTTTATGATATCTTTAGATTAATATTTTATTCAAAAATAAAATCATTGTTGCTTTCTTAAAAACACATAAAATCGTATTATAACATCTACAAAGACAAATAATAAAATAGAACATTAAAATCGAGATGTGTCTCGCTGCATTGCGCGAGTATCCTTCTAGTATGCTATAAACCATGCATATAAGAGGGGTGAATGTGATATTTGGAAAGGTGTATGCCATTTTTATGTTATCTGTAAAGATCGAATTTGAATTAAAAAAACGTGCATTATTAAGTTAAAGTTTATCTGAATATAAATATGAATTTACAAATTGGACTCTACTATTTAACCAACTTTATAACTTTCGGTAGGGATGGTAATGGGGCGGGGACCCCAATCCCCGTCCCCATCCCCACCGGGGATTTTGATTATATCCCCATCCCCGTCCCCAACGGGGAAACGGAGATATTTTTTTTCATGTTTGTGTAAAAAAAAAAAATTAAATCAAATGTTTGAGACGCTACACATATTTAAATCTCACATTTTTCCAATAAACCTAAAATCAAAAGGAATTTAATTTAATACAAAAAATATACATCATTATATAATAATTAACAATGGAAAACAAAACAAAAAAAAGTAATCTAAAAAAATTAACATCACATGTAACAAAACATATTGAGTAAAATCCAAAATATATTGAAATAGAAATTACCATTTACCGATTTAATAGAAATAAATAATATATAATATAATTAATTAATATATATATATATATATATATATATACGGGGGCGGGGCGGGGAGTGTGATACCCATCCCCGGTTTGAGCCAAACGGGGATCCCCGTCCCCGTCCCCAAGACCCTGTTTAACGGGGAATCCCCGTCCCCGACCGGGGCGGGTGGACCGGGTTCCCCGACGGGTCGGGTCCAATTCCCATGCCTAACTTTCGGGTATCAAAGTGGTTAGTTTTGGGAGCTAATTTTGAAATCAAAGGTTCTACTTTAACACGTTACTCAAAATAAATAAAATCTTAGTTCTTTTTATGGTAAAATGTTTTTATTAATCTGATAAAGTTTATGGCTTATGCTTTCGAATGTAGTCAAAAATACTGGAGTTGTTATTTATGATTTAATCCAACAGGTACTAATTTGAAAATTGAATGGGTAAATTTATTCAGTACTGTTGACTTTTGTACCAACTGGTATACTTCAAAACACTTGGTTTTATAGCTGACAAATTCGTAACTGTATATGCAATTTATCTGCCTTCTGTCAAAAGGCATAAGTTTGTGTATTCGATTTTCCATGTTAAACTTGTACTTGTTAAAATTTAAAATATTGATTTTATTAATGATAGAATATAAAATAAAGACCTTTTAATGCAATCAGCATATCTGTATGTTCAAGTTTTCTGTATTCTTAAACTGACCTTTTATAGTCATTTTAAAACCGAGAGTCCAAATGGATAAAATAAATAACAGGGTGTATCATAGTCATTTCACACAAGTCAATAAAATGGTCAAAAGATAAAATATCAGATGTTGGTAAAGCTGATTTGGCAAAAATGCTACAGGCATTAACACGCTCAGTTAAATATAAGAGAGGCAACTGTAAATTTTTAATATTATTTTCATACGTTACTTTCTTTTGTCCAAATAAGCTAGATAAGCTAGCTTATTCTTTTAAGTACATGTTTGGATGAACATAAGCTAACTTATAAATTATCTTATCGAAACGTTAGTTGGAATAACGTTTTAATAGTTTTCTATCACTTCTTTCCAATTATAACCTTAGGTCATATTAGTTGTTTTTTTAATTATTAATTATTAATAAATATTAATTATTTATTAATTTCATTTTAATTAATAATTAATATTAGTTTTAAACTATTAATTAATTTAAT